CTGACCAACAGAACCTACAGTTCTAACGATGTGTTCACTGACCAACAGAACCTACAGTTCTAACGATGTGTTCACTGACCAACAGAACCTACAGTTCTAACGATGTGTTCACTGACCAACAGAACCTACAGTTCTAAAGATGTGTTCACTGACCAACAGAACCTACAGTTCTAACGATGCGTTCACTGACCAACAGAACCTACAGTTCTAACAGAATCTACAGTTCTAACGATGCGTTCACTGACCAACAGAACGTACAGTTCTAACAGAATCTACAGTTCTAACGATGCGTTCACTGACCAACAGAACCTACAGTTCTAAAAGAACCTACAGTTCTAACGATACGTTCACTGACCAACAGAACCTACAGTTCTAACAGAACCTACAGTTCTAACGATGCGTTCACTGACCAACAGAATCTACAGTTCTAACGATGCGTTCACTGACCAACAGAATCTACAGTTCTAACGATGCGTTCACTGACCAACAGAATCTACAATTCTAACGATGCGTTCACTGACCAACAGAACCAAAGCGGGTCACCTGTCGGCCTCGTCCAGAACCAGCCAGCGGACGGCGCTGAAGGCGATGCTCAGGGTGTGTTTGATGTGATCCACCAGACGTCCAGGAGTGGAGATCAGGATGTTGATTCCTTTACGGATCCTGAAACCAGACCAGAACTTACGGCCTCCCCAACACACAGGTTCAGAACCAGGACCAGATCTGGCACCAGGGTCTGGTTCTGATATGTAGGACTTGGTCTGAGGAAGTGAAACCAGAACCAAAGAAGGCGGTTCTAGAACCTACCTGGCCTTTTCTGCTTTCCTCTTCTCTCCTCCCATCAGCACACCTGGGACGATCCAGGTGAACGGCTGCAGAGACAGAACCCTCCAATAAACTCCGCCCCCCAGAAACACTCAGTTCTGACCCTGCGGGGTTCTGAGGTTGAACCGGTTCTGTTCAGAACCTTCAGTAAAGTATTTGGACCTGTGTTACCTTGAGAAGTTTCTGGAAGGTCTGGAAGGTCTGCAGAGCGAGCTGATAAACAAGAACAAAGAGTCAGTCTGAGGAAGATCCACACAGGACACATTAAACTGGACCGGTCCGGACCGGACCAGACCTCACCTCTCTGGTCGGGACGATGATGAGAGCCAGAGGTCCATCAGACCTGCTGACCTTCGGCTGAACCGACTGAAGACTCTGAACCAGCGGGACGGCATAGGACAGGGTTTTACCTGCAGAGACAGAGACAGGTGAGGCTAGCTCAAAGGAGCAGGAAGCTAGGTGAAAAGTAGCTAGGTGAAAAGTAGCAGGAAGCTAAGTGAAAAGTAGCAGGAAGCTAGGTGAAAAGTAGCAGGAAGCTAGGTGAAAAGTAGCAGGAAGCTAGGTGAAAAGTAGCAGGAAGCTAGGTGGAAGTAGCAGGAAGCTAGGTGGAAGTAGCAGGAAGCTAGGTGAAAGTAGCAGGAAGCTAGGTGAAAGTAGCAGGAAGCTAGGTGAAAGTAGCAGGAAGCTAGGTGAAAGTAGCAGGAAGCTAGGTGAAAGTAGCAGGAAGCTAGGTGAAAGTAGCAGAATTTCTCACCTGATCCGGTCTGAGAGCGAACTAAAGCGTCTCGTCCCGACAGAAGGGCAGGGATGGTCTGCTTCTGAACGCTGCACATACATTAAAGATTACACACACTACTGCTGTCAGTTTGGGGGTGTGTGTGTGTATTGTTTCTACTACAGAGTGAGGACCATTTGCTACATAGCTATTCTCAAAGTGAGGTCTTTGATGTAAAGTGAGGACCTCTTCAATGTCTTCACTTTGTTTGCAGCTCTGCTGTGCTTTACTAGTTAGGTTTAGAGGTATGGTGTGAGTTAATTGATGCAAGTACAAGGATGTATGTGTGTGTGTGTGTGTGTGTGTGTGTGTACTGACCTGGTCAGAGTAGAGACATTCAAAACTTTATTCAGCGTTGCTACCTGATGAACGTAAACATTCAATCAGTAAAATAAAATAAGACTAGAACTGATAATAAACAATAATTAAAACAGAAACAAAACCCAGTGTGTGTGTGTGTGTGTGTGTGTGTGTGTGTGTGTGTGTGTTACCAGGTGGGGGTGCAGGTGGAGGTCTGAGAAAGAGTCAGAAGTGAAGATCTTCTCCTTTACCTTGGAAACAGTTGGTCTGAAGGAAGAAACATCACAGAGATGATTGATCAAGCATCATATGACCAAAGGCAACCAATCAGACTCAGCCAATCAGACTCAGCCAATCAGACTCAGCCAATCAGACTCAGCCAATCAGACTCAGCCAATCAGACTCAGCCAATCAGACTCAGCCAATCAGACTCAGCCAATCAAAATCAACCAATCAAAATCAACCAATCAGACTCAGCCAATCAGACTCAGCCAATCAAAATCAACCAATCAGACTCAGCCAATCAGACTCAGCCAATCAAAATCAGCCAATCAAAATCAACCAATCAGACTCAGCCAATCAGACTCAGCCAATCAAAATCAACCATTCAGAATCAACCAATCAGAATCAACCAATCAGACTTAGCCAATCAGAATCAACCAATCAGACTTAGCCAATCAGAATCAACCAATCAGACTTAGCCAATCAGAATCAACCAATCAAAATCAACCAATTAGACTCAACCAATCAGAATTCAGTATACCTGTGGATTTCTGGAATCTCTGGGTTGTTTTTGAACAGAGATGAAGTCTTGATGCTGCTGTGGGTTTCTGTCTTTGTCTCCTCTTCTGTCTTCTTCTTGTCTTTCCTCTCCTCCTTCTTGTCTTTCCTCTCCTCCTTCTTGTCTTTCCTCTCCTCCTTCTTGTCTTTCCTCTCCTCCTTCTTGTCTTTCCTCTCCTTTTTATTCTTCTGTGGTGTCCTGTGAGTCGTCTCAGTGGGCGGAGCCTGAAGACAAATGGTCTTTCTTTAGTTTAGCACCAGTTAATAACAGATTCTACAGGTTGAAGAGTTTACCTGCAGTGGAACAGGTGGTGCAGCTTCCTCCTCCTCCTCCTCCTCCTCCTCCTCCTCAGCTGTGTGATGAAGCTGCTGTCTCCTCTGTTTGGCTGAACATTGCTCCTCTTCCTCTGTGTTGATCCTCCTCTTCCTCTCTGCTCTTTGCTTCTTCTGGGAGAAAAATCACAAACAGGAAGCTGCTGCAAATGTGTCTTTTTTAACCAATTAAAAAGGTCAGTTAGCTGTGGTGTCTATCTTGAATCATAACAGTTAATTAGCTGTTGATCATTCAATCTTTCCATCATTTTAATTTAATTTATGTGGAAAATATGAAGTGTGTGTGTGTGTGTGTGTGTGTGTGTGTGTGTGTGTGTGTGTGTGTGTGTGTGTGTGTGTGTGTGTGTGNGTGTGTGTGTGTGTGTGTGTGTGTGTGTGTGTGTGTGTGTGTGTGTGTGTGTGTGTGTGTGTGTGTGTGAACTCACTAAAGCCCATTTCTGCTGAGGTTTCAGTCGTTTCCTGCTGCTGGGAAATGATGATGATGTTAAAGATTCGCTGATGTTCAGACACAGCTGTCCATCTGCTGATGACATCATTGGCACACCTGTGTGGCAGCTGGCAGGTGTGTGTGTCCACAAACTACAGACACACACAGGTAGAGCTTCGGTAAAACAAATTCTTCTCTCACACCAAACTCAGTTTAAAAAACGTCAGATTTTAGCTTGTTGTTCGGCCGCAGCTTTAGGTTAAAATCAAATGATTAATTTTATTTATAAAATGACAAAAACTGCATTAAGTTTAGCTGCGTGAGGTTTCTGATTGAAGCCGAAGTTAAGAGTAACACCTGACAATGTGTTTGTAAATCCACGCGTGTTTGTGCACGAGCTTCTCTGTCACGCGACACAGGTAACATCAAACAGAGCCTTTTTTTCACGGAGTTCAGCTGCGGCTTCAGGAGGCTGCAGCAGCTCCTCTGTTCATCTGATCGAACAAAATTCATGATGATCAAGTTTAACAACAAACAAACGAGACATCAAACACGTGGGCGTGTGTGCGCGCGCACGACGCTAACAATTGCTGCTTGCGATCTGCAAAGACTTTTCACATTAAAATAAAAGACGAACAAAAACAAGTGAAAACAAATAATAAGTGAAATAAATGCTTACTGTTAACTTTCCGGACACAACCACACGTGGAAATGTCTTCCTACTGCGTCACAGAAGCTCCGCCCTACATTTGATGTGCGCATGCGCAGTGGCTCCAGGCGGTGGTCAGACATGTTCTCTCCAGTTTAAATGTTTTTTACAGGTAAATTTGTTTTCAGTGTGTTCAAAGGAACAGATATAAACACATTTGGATCAAACTGGACCGGTTCTCTGGCCCTGCTGGGGGTCCATGCCTTGCTCAGAGGCTTCCTGGCAGAACCAGCTGGGCATCAAACCCTCCATCAGATCTACTTCCTGTTGAGGGGATAATAATAGAGCTGTCAATCATTCGGTCCTGCTGGGACTCTGCAGGAATAATTAGAGGCATTTATCAGAACCGTCTGAGGCCCGGTTCTATCAGCTGTCAATCACAGGTGGTCCAGAACCACCTCAGCTCTTTACAGCCGTTCTGGGTTTGGTCTTACACAACATGTTGGATTTTAGGGCTTAAATCTTTACCGGACCCAGAACTGACCAGACCCTGTGTAAAAAATGACCCGATCCAAAGGAAAACCTGGTCCAGAACAGACAGAACCAGAACCAAGGTTCCACACACAGAGACCTGTGCTCAGGGTCAAAGGAGGACGATGATGATGATGATGATGATGATGATGATGAAGGTGTTTGGGAGTCATCAGAGACTCTCAGATCCTCTGGTTGGTTCTGATCCACAGGTCCAGTTGGACCCGGTTCCTGTTAGACTGATTTCATGAGTCAAAAACATTAAAACACGTAAATCTGAACAAACAATTTATTAATAAACTGAAGGAGAGGATTCTGTCCAGACAAGTCCAGGCGGGTCCAGGTGGGTCCAGGTGGGTCCAGACGAGTCCAGGTGGGTCCAGGTGAGTCCAGGTGGGTCCAGGTGGGTCCAGACGAGTCCAGGTGGGTCCAGGCGGGTCCAGGCGGGTCCAGGCAGGTCCAGGTGGGTCCAGGTGGGTTCCAGATGTCAGTTGGTGGTCAGTCGGCTCTCCAGAGCCTCGAATACAGAGAGGTGGTTCTGATTCGCATTGATGTGAATCACATCTGGATACACAGACTGACACAGACATGTTTGTTTGTTAGTGTTTGTTGGTTTGTTGTTTGTTTGTTTATGAGTTTGTTTGTGAGTTGTTTGTTTACATGTTTGTTTGTTGTTAGTTTGTTTACATGTTTGTTTGTCATTTGTTTGTTTACGTTTGTTGGTTTGTTTATGTGTTTTGGTGTTTCTTTATGTGTTTGTTTGTGTTTGTTGTTTGTATGTTTTTGTTGTTTGCTTGTTTATGTGTTTGTTGGTTTGTTTGTTTACGTGTTTGTTTATTTGTGTTTGTTGTTTGTTTGTTTATGTGTTTGTTTGCAAGTTTGTTGTGTGTTTATGTGTTTTGTTTGTGTTTGTTTGCTTTTTATGTGTTGTTTGTTTGTTGTTTGTTTATGTGTTTTGTTGTTTGTTTATGTGTTGTTTGTATGTTTGTGTTTGTTGTTTGTTTATGTTTGTTTGTTGATGTGTTTGTTTGTTGATGTGTTTGTTGTTTGTTTGTTTATGTTTGTTTGTTTATCTTTCAGCCACAGTCACATGTTGTCAGTGTGTGGTGGTCAGAACCAACAGAACCTTCCTGTGTTCACCTGCAGGGCAGCACAATGGACCCGGTACTGGTTCAGTCTCTGGGTCACCTCCTCCAAGCGGTCCTCCGGTGCAGTCTGTAGGCGGGCCTGGACCTCAGCGCTCGGAGCGGGTCGGGTCACAGTGTGGTACCTGCAGGAGGACACGCAGGTGATGGGTCGGTTCTGATCCAGAGACTTTTCTGACCCACGTACTGACCTCTCCCCGCTGAGCGGGTCTACGGTTCTGAGACTGAGACGCTCCAAACATACATGATCAGGAGCCTCCAGGAGGAACACCCTGAGGAGGAGAGGAGGAGGAGAGGAGAGGAGAGGAGAGGAGGAGAGAGAGAGGAGAGGAGAGGAGGAGGATAGGAGAGGAGAGGAGAGGAGGAGAGAGAGAGGGGAGGAGAGGAGGAGGAGAGGAGGAGAGGAGAGGAGAGGAGGAGAGAGAGAGGAGAGGAGAGGAGGAGGATAGGAGAGGAAAGGAGGAGAGAGGAGGAGAGAGAGAGGAGAGGGGAGGAGAGGAGAGGAGAGGAAAGGAGAGGAGGAGAGAGAGAGGGGAGGAGAGGAGGAGGAGAGGAGGAGAACCGTTAGTTCCCTGCCAGAACCTGAGTCTGAACTGAAGGTTCTGGTGGTTCTGGTCCCTCTGGGTCTCAGGAGTTGTTCCTGACCTTAACAGAACCGTACCTTTCAAAATAAAACATCCACAGGAAGTGGCCTGTGTCCTATTCTGGTTCTGGTTCTGTACCTGTTGGGTTGGTTCTGGTTCTGTACCTGTTGGGCTGGTTCTGAGTCTCCTGCAGGCTCCGGGCCTGCTGGAGGTTGAGGGGGAACCCGTGCAGAACCCAACCTCTGCAGCTGCAGTCCACTCGGCTCAGGCGCTCCTCCAGGACCCGCAGAACCACAGAGTCTGGAACTGGACCGGCAGAACTTAAATAACACAGGTGATGATGTGGACTCAGCGGGTCACAGAGCAAACACACCTGGACTCAGACTCACCTGGACGTCCGTCATCCAGGTAGGGCTGGACCAGTGCTCCTGGACCAGAACCATCAGCTGCTGCAGACCTCAACAGCTGACCACAACACACTGACACACACACACACACACACACACACACACACACACACACACACACACACACACA